TGCCTCAGTAACACGTGACTCTTACTTTATATCTGAAGTTTATTCTTCTGTTTTTTTTTCGTTTTTTTCCCTATTATTAGAATTTTACCCGCGCAGGAAGACACGGGCTTGGGGTCTGCTAGCATAAATAACCTAGTTAACCAGACAGTTGACCGGGAAGCTTGGTGTCAGGTGGGACAACAAGGGTAGAGGAGCCATGAAGCTCGTCACTGTGTCTCAATATTACCATAAACATGTCCCCTTGAAAGACTAGTCTAGATAACATGAAAGAACAGAAGCTAAGTGTGAATGTGCCCGATAAAGCGCTAAGGAATCCTGACAAAGACACTTTCAAAACTCACTTTTCCTCATATGTGCGACCCATTAGAGTATAGAGCACCGGTGTAAAGCCCTCGTCTAGTAAGACACAAAGAAAAATCAAGAAAAATCCCAAGAAGTACATCAAGATTGTGGCTTAAACAGAGAGGAACTGTACTGCTTATCAAGAGGGAAAATAGAGGGAAAGAGAGAGAGAGAGAGAGAGAGAGAGAGAGAGAGAGGAGAGAGAGAGAGAGAGAGAGAGAGAGAGAGAGAGAGAGAGAGAGAGAGAGAAAACTCTTTCAGCAGAGGTTACATGATACAAAATACTCATGGTAGAGAGAGAAGCTCTTTACCGCTCCCTTGAACAAGGGATGGTGAATATAAAGGTTTTGGTACATATATCTACTAGACAAGTATTGCAACATTGACGATGATTCCTGGACATTATATTGGAACGGACTAAAAGGAGAAAACCAGAAAACATATCTTCAAAAAAACTTTGAGAAGCTGAACAGTGAGACAGCGGAGGCAGACAATATATGAGAGTTCAAAAACAGATGTAACTGGGCTATTTCACTTTGGTCTGTCGAAAGTTAGCAAGACAGACCAGGAGCTGGAATTCAGCGCCTTACAACTTCAAATAGGTAATTACACACACACGTATGGTAATGTGGGCTCTACTGCACAAACTTGCATCATTAATTTTTGCAAGCAGACATTTCTCTGCAAAGTTGGAAAGGACTTGGGAGAGAGAGAGGAGAGAGAGAGGGGAGAGAGAGAGAGAGAGGGAAAAGAGAGAGAGAGAGAGAGAGAGGGGAAAAGAGAGAGAGAGAGAGAGAGGAGAGGGAGGGAGGGAGAGAGAGAGACAGACAGACAGACAGACAGAGAGTTTGGATAAGGAAATGAGAACTAAGACTTAGAGACTGAGAACAAAGATACGCTGGTAAGTGAAGAAGTGTACAGCCAAATGTAGGGAGATGTTTGGAGGAAGTATGTGGACCTGTCTTTAATACATCTTCATCCCCTGATTCCTTCATCTTTTATTCCCCTTCTTCCCCCCCCCCCCCACACACACACTTTCATCAAGTACCTCAGACCAGGACATTTAAACGGACAGAGAGCACATTCATTTCCCTTCTTTTATTAATTAAAAAGTTTACACAGAATAATAGCAATCCTTGTATATAGTATCCACTGAGAAACGTAAATTTTCTCAAGTCACAAGACCTGTTTTAAGCGGATAGAAAAAGCTTGGGGCCGGCTATTATACCTTCTGATTTAATAATACTTGACATCTCAAACCCTCCTTCCCCATATGGGGGTGAGGGGGATGGTGGTGGTGCGGGTTTAGCACCAACTGTTGGCCCACATTCTGAGAGAGGCTGCAGGAGGTGACAGATACACACTGCGCTACTCTGAGAAAACTTCCCCTCACTTCTTTAGTTGCTGCCTTGCAACATTGCATAGCTCCTGATGATGCACTGAGAAGTATGACAGTATTTGATCTTGTACATGGCTTGTCTTTCATATATATATGTATATATATATTATATATATATATATATATATATATATATATATATATATATATATATGTGTGTGTGTGTGTGTGTGTGGGGTGTGTGTGTGTGTGTGTGTGTGTAAAACAACCACTGTGAAAGAATAGAGAAATTCCAAGCGCTTTCGTGACTACTCCTTGATAATGTGAGTAGTCACGAATGCGCTTGGAATTTCTCTGTTCTTTCACAGTGGTTGTTTTGCATATTCTGAAATCACCTGTTTACTGTGATCTTATTGCATATAAAATATATATAAAATATATATATATATATATATATATATATATATATATATATATATATATATATATATATATATATATATATATATATATAAAGTCGTGCCGAATAGGTAAAATTGGTCACTTAGCAGAACTCATTTTAAATTAAGTCCTTTCAAAAATTTTCTCTTATACGTTTAAAGATATATTTTCTCATTTATGTTAATGTAAAAATTAATAATTTTTTACCAAAAGAACCTTAGCAAATTTATCTAACCTTATAACAAGCGCAATTTAATTTAGCCTAATCCAACTAATTCTACAATAATTTAATAATAAGCAAACACAATGAAATATTTTTTTCGTTGGGTTCAGAATGATTTTTGCGAAATTATTGCATAAACAAATTTTCGCTTCCCTTATTCGGCAAAAATAGCGTTGCTATTTAAGCCAAAATCGCAGATACAAATATTGCCGGAACTAAGTTTCCGGTTCGTTTTCAGCCATGTTATATGGGCCTACACGAACAACCTAGATGATGAGGAAAGCTTGTTGTGAGGCTTAGCTGTTGTTAGGAGCACAAGAAGCTTGAAGCTGGAAGCTGTCGTTTGGTGGTTGTGACCAACACTGAAGTGGAAGCTTGCTGTGTTTACAAGCTGGCGTTATGCTGGTAGTGGCTACTTAGTTACCATCATGACTCGCGAAATCGTAATAACACCATTGTAAACAAACCACAGTACGGGAGGGGTTAGAACCCGTGGCGAGTGAGTCGTAAAACTCCAGGTCAGTACGTAAGCCACTGGGCCAGCTGGCCACAGTAAGATTCGTCCAACTAGATATGTTTATAAACCATTGCGATGTTTAGCATGGCCCCACCATTCCCTGGGTTTTATTACTATCTCTCATAAAATACTTACTTGACCTTTGATTGTTTTTACCGTGTGTATTTACCTAATTGTACTCACCTAATTGTGGTTGAGG